CCCATGGATGGGGCTTCAAAATCCCATCACACCCTGTATGGATGGGGCTTCAAAATCCCATCAAACCCCATGGATGGGGCTTCAAAATCCCATCAAACCCTGATGGATGGGGCTTCAAAATCCCATCAAACCCTGTATGGATGGGGTTCAAAATCCCATCACACCCCATGGATGGGGTTCAAAATCCCATCACACCCCATGGATGGGGCTGCAAAATCCCATCAACCCCATGGATGGGGCTGCAAAATCCCATCAAGCCCCATGGATGGGGCTTCAAAACATCATGGATGGGGCTGCAAAATCCCATCAAACCCCATGGATGGGGTTCAAAATCCCATCAGACCCCATGGATGGGGCTTCAAAATCCCATCACACCCTGTATGGATGGGGCTTCAAAATCCCATCAAACCCCATGGATGGATGGGGCTTCAAAATCCCATCAAACCCCATGGATGGGGCTGCAAAATCCCATCAAACTCTGTGGATTCTTCAGGAGAACTTGGAGTTGGGTGGGAAAAGCTTCATCCTTTCGAAACAAAAAACATCCTAAAAGAACTGGAAAAAAAAACAACCCCCCCCAAAGTTATTTGAAATGATTTAGAACTTTGTCCTGCATAAAATACCCTGGAAAAGCTTTCCTTTCCAAGGATAATTTATAGAAATATTTGGGCTTTTTGTAAGCTTAAATGGAATGTGCAGGGAAAGCAGTGGGATTCTCCATGCTTCCATGAGTTAGAGCATTCCTGAACACTGGAAATTTGGGATTTGCTTGGAAATCTGGGATTAAAAATTTAGCCTTGTAGCAGTTCAAGGGCTTCTCAAATGGTGAAAAAAATTTTTTTTGCTATTATTTTTTAAAATATTTTTTTTATTTTTTCTATTATTTTTCCTTTTTTCTTTTTTTTAAATTATTTTTTCATATTTCTGTTATTTTTGGTTTAATTTTTCCCTATTTTTATTTCTTCAGGATTTTAGTTTTCTTATTTTTAGTATTTATTCTTTTATTTTTTATTTATTTTTCTTACTACTTTTATTATGCCTTATTATTTTTATTATTCCTTTTAATCTTTATTCATTATTATTTATATAGTTTTTATTATATTCCTTACTTGTTTCTTATTGCCATTTTCATTACTACATTATATTTTATTATTTTCTTCTATTAATATTTTAATAATTTTATAATTTAATTTCTTTGAATATTATTAATAGAATTAATTTTCCTGACAGATCAGAGACAGATTTGTGAAGGAACCAGCATTTGAAGACATCACCCTGGAATCTGAAAGGAAAAGGATATTTAAGGATTTCCTTCATGTACTTGAGGTAATTATTCCTTTATTTTTGAAATCAACAGACAAGGAAAATTCCTTCTAAATTGAATGGGAAGTGGAAGGATTTAATGGAATTTTTTCCATTAAATAACATCAGGAGATAAATTAGATTTTTCAGCTCTCACACTTGGGGGTCTTGTTGCAATTCTTGGAATTTGGAAGAATTTGAACTGAAATGTTGACTTTTAATTCTGTAATTTGCAATTAGGCAGAGCAAGGGTTGGGTTGGATGCAGGGAGCAGATCCAGGTGCTGCAGCTCCAGCAGGGCAGCAGTGCCCATTTTTAGGTATTTTGACATTAAATGGTGATTGTGGAGTTTTTATCCTTTCTCAATTTTCTTGGATGAGGAAGAGCATCCCCATCAGGTTTTTGGGATGTCCTGTAGGCTGTGATGAGATGGTTCTCTCATGAAATGTGATCATGGAGTTTTTAACCTTTCCCAACTTTATTGGGTGAGGAAAAGCATCCCATCAGATTTTTGAGATGTCCTGTAGGCTGTGATGAGATGGTTCTCTCATGAAATGGTGATTGTGGAGTTTTTATCCTTTCCCAGTTTTCTTGGATGAGGAAGAGCATCCCCATCAAATTTTTGGGATGTCCTGTAGGTGGTACTGCCATGAAATGGTGATTATGGAGTTTTTATCCTTTCCCACCTTCCTTGGATGAGGAAGAGCATCCCCATCAAATTTTTGGGATGTCCTGTAGGAACTGATGAGATGGTTCTCTCATGAAATGGTGATTATGGAGTTTTTATCCTTTCCCCACTTTCTTGGATGAGGAGAAAGATCCCATCAAATTTTTGGGATGTCCTGTAGGAACTGATGGGGTGGTTCTGCCATGAAATGGTGATTATGGAGTTTTTAACCTTTCTCAGTTTTCTTGGATGAGGAAAAGCATCCCATGAGGTTTTTGGGATGTCCTGTAGGTGCTGATGAGGTGATTCTGCCATGAAATGGTGATTGTGGAGTTTTTATCCTTTCCCAATTTTATTGGATGAGGAGGAGCATCCCATCAGGTTTTTGGGATGTCCTGTAGGCTGTGATGAGATGGTTCTCTCATGAAATGGTGATTGTGGAGTTTTTATCCTTTCCCAACTTTATTGGGTGAGGAAAAGCATCCCCATCAGATTTTTGGGATGTCCTGTAGGAACTGATGAGATGGTTCTTCCATTAAATGCTGATTTTATGGAATTTTTAACCTTTCCCAGCTTTTGTGGATGAGGAAAAGCATCCCATCAGGTTTTTGGGATGTCCTGTAGGAACTGATGAGATGGTTCTCTCATGAAATGGTGATTGTGGAGTTTTTATCCTTTCCCAACTTCCTTGGATGAGGAAGAACATCCTATGAGGTTTTTGGGATGTCCTGTAGGTGCTGATGAGATGGTTCTCTCATGAAATGGTGATTGTGGAGTTTTTATCCTTTCCCCACTTTCTTGGATGAGGAAGAACATCCCATCAAATTTTTGGGATGTCCTGTAGGAACTGATGAGGTGTTTCTGCCATGAAATGGTGATTATGGAGTTTTTAACCTTTCTCAGTTTTCTTGGATGAGGAAGAACATCCCATCAGGTTTTTGGGATGTCCTGTAGGAGCTGCTGAGGTTTTCCTGCCCATCCCTGAACTGCCCAAGGCCAGGCTGAGCCCCCTGCTCCAGGGAAGTTGTCCTTCCCCATGGTGGAACCAGCTGGGATTTTAGGGCTTTTCCAAGGGCAATCCCTGCTGGAATTCCGAGCTCTCCCCTCCTTGCCTTGCCCACAGCACGAGTGTCAGCACCACCACTCCAAGACCAAGAAACATTCGAAGAAATCCAAGAAACACCACCGGAAGCGCTCGCGTTCCCGCTCGGTGAGTAACCCTCCCTGTGCCATTCCCACTGCTGCTGGAGCTGCCATTGCTGACTGGAACTCTCCCCTGGCTGTGTGTGAAGGGCTCTGAGTCCGAGGATGACGACAGCCACTCCAAGAAGAAGCGGCAGCGCTCGGAATCGCGGTCGGTGTCGGAGCGTTCGTCCAGCGCCGAGTCCGGTACGGGACGGGACGGGATGGGACGGGATGGGATGGGATGGGATGGGATGGGATGGGATGGGATGGGATTGGTTTGGGTTGGCTTTAAACCAGCTGGGCTCTTCTCCTTTGGGATTTACCCACTGATTCCTGGCGGTTTTGTTTCTCCCTGTGGCTGCAGAGAGGAGTTACAAGAAGTCCAAAAAACACAAGAAGAAGAGCAAGAAGAGGAGGCACAAGTCTGTGAGTGGAGCTCAGTTTTGAATTGGGTTATGGACAACCTGGCACCTGCCGTCAGTAATCCCAGCTGGATGATCCTAGGGCAAAATTGGGATCAAGCTGGAGGGGGGTATTGCCAAAATAACAACTTTCTGTTCTATATTCCCAGTATTAAAATGCTGAATGTGGACGGTTTAACTCCAGGTGAAAGACTCCATGAGTAGCCTGGGATTTGCTGTTTATCCTGGCAAATCCAGGTGTTCTCCTTCTGGGAAGGATCCCAGGCATTCCTTGTGCCTGCCTGAGCATCAGGCTTGTGTTGGAAGCTCTGGAAGGATCCAAAATGCAGAAAGAGCTTCACTTCTTCCTGGGAAGGTGGGGAGGCCCTGACACAAGGTGCCCAGAGAAGCTGCAAGTGTCCAAAGCCAGGGTGGACAACCTGGGACAGGGGAAGGTTTCCCTGCTCATGGCAGGGGTGGAATGGGATGAAATTTAAAGCCCCTTCTAACGGAAATCATTCCATGATTCTACAATTCTTCAAATGGAAGTTGAACTCCAAAATATTCAACATTAATATTCACTATTCCCATTTTTTTTCAACAGGATTCACCAGAATCTGATGTGGAACGAGAGAAGGACAAGAAAGACAGAGAGAGGGACAGTGAGAAGGAAAGAGCCAGACAGAGATCTGAGTCCAAGCATAAATCTCCCACTAAGAAACGGCCTGGAAAAGATTCCGTAAGCTCTGCTTCCTGTTTGTCCCGATGCTTTGGGCTCTGCTGGATGCAGCTCCTCAGGTGTGCTCTGGGAGAGGTCAGAGGTTGCACTGGAGCATCCTGGAGGTCTCTGCCATTGCCCAGTTTGGATTTTGGGGTTTCTGAGTGGCACAGAGCAGCCCTGGCTGTGTGTGCCCATCCTGGAGCCTCCCTGGACAATCCCATGCTGACCTGTGTCCCTTCTCTCCACAGGGGAACTGGGATACCTCTGGCAGCGAGCTCAGCGAGGGGGAGCTGGAGAAACAGAGGAGGACTCTTTTGGAACAGCTGGATGAAGATCAATGAGAAGATCCTTGATACCAAAAATGTTTACAGGTGGCAAAATAAAACCAAGCCTTGTGTGGGCAAGGCCCTGGGGCCGGTGGCCGGTGGCCCATGGCCACAACAGCGGTGGCTTTTAGTTTTTTACCACTTCAATCCAGTCAAAAGTAGAAAAATCCATGGAATTCTGAGGGCAGAGCTGTGCCTGGCCTGGAGCTGCGGGGTGGATGGGGCTGGGATCCCCTGGAGGGGACACACAGGTGGCAGCAGTGTCCCCAAGCACTTTCCCAATGTCCTTCCCAGGGCAGGGAACAACCCTGGGCTGCCTGGGCAGAGCCCAGTTCAGCTTAGGGAAAAAACTCCTAATTTAATTCTTTGTGCTTTTGTTCTTTGATGGATTTGCTTGGGTGGGATTTTTTGGGAAGGCAGCAGGAGTAAGGAATCCGTGTCCTGCTGTGTTCTGCAGTCCCCTGGATTCTGGGGTTGTGTGACACCGGGGCTTTTGTCCAGGACTGATTCGTGTCCCGATCCCATCGATCCCAAAGGCAGGGAATGTCGTGGATGGGGATTCTCCTGCTGTGCCAGCAGAGGGAGCGTTTGGGACACACCCACCTCGGCATTCCCGAAATCCCAGCCCGGCCAGCCCCAGCTGTTACCCAGCGTTTCCTCCACCTTTTCCCTCCCCCTTCCGAAAACTTAGGAATAAAAATCCAATGTTAAACGCAATTCCATGTGTTGCCTTAAGAACCTGCTGCAGAATGTAGCTGCACAGCCCAGAGGAGGGAGGAGGAAGCAGCTCCAGCCCTGTTTTCCAGCCCCTGCACGTTCAGGAAGGTGCCCCAGCCCTGCTCGGTGAGAAAATTGGGAAGCCGCTGTCCTTGGAATATTTTTGTACATTTTTATCAATGATTAAACCTTGTCTTTTAGCATGTACTGGTATTTATTTCTCCTTAAATACTCTGTACAGCTCTGAGCCACAGCCTCACTCACAAAACCTGCTTGAAGACTGTTCAGGTTCCTTTTCAGGAGTTTTTTTCCTGAATTTTGACCACTTTTACCAGTGCATAAACACCCAGAGAGGATCAATTTATCAGGGAATTTTCATGCTGGGGTGGTTACAAGGCTCAGAATCCTTAAGAACACCCTGAGATTGAAATGAGTTATTTGGAATATAAAATGCAGGAGGTTGTAACCATTTTTCTCTGGGATGCTTTGGGATTTTCTGGGATGGTTTGGGATGGGAAAGCACATCCCAATCCTGTTTCCCCCTGAAGGGTCATTGCTTATCACCCATTCCCTGGGGAAAAACCACCTGGATTTGGTCAAACAGGGCTTGGTGGGATTTTTGGTATCCATGGGTGTTTGGTGTGGAAATCCAGGTTGGAATATTCCAGGTTTTTCCCTGCAGGCTCTCCTAAGGAAGGATGGGATATTTGCTGCTCCAGGACTGAAGAGTGAGCCAAGTTTGCTTTGCTCCCCTGTTTATATCCCAAAATGGGAACAGCCCAGCAGAGTTTGGGAAGCAGCTCCTGGAATCTGCCTTGGAGCTGGCAGAGGATTGAGAGCCTGACAGGTCCCGAGGTTTGTAAGCAGGGAGGAAACTCTTCCAGTGCTCTTTTATTCCCTTGCATCCTCACAAATTCAAGGCAGAAGTTGTTCCTAAGGGAATATCACCTTTAAAAGGTTTGCACTGATTTTTCCATCAAAAATAAAAACCTGGGAATGTCCATTATTCCAATGGTGGGGTTTTCTTAGCATCTTAATTCAGTTTGCTGGAAGAAACTCAGCTTAAACTGAGCCTGCTTTTAAACCAAGCAAGGCAGGATTGAGTTTTCCAGGGAATTGAGTTCAGGCTTATTTTTTCCAGCTTTTTTTTTGGTGTTTTTTCTCCTCTTTCATATTTCCTCAGCCCAATTTTTTTCCTGTGGCAGCACAGCCAACTTCTGCATTCCCACCTGGAAACTGGAAGGAATTTTAGCCAAATTGATTCTTCTTAATCAATTATTGGATTATTTTGGATGGTGTTTAACTGTGTCCTTGGCTGTGCTGGTTAATCCTGACCACCCCTTAGAATAATTTTATTAAACCATTTTAAAAATGACATTTAATACTAAAATTCAAGTTATTTAGGCCTTAAATATTTGGATTGTTTTGAGTGCATTTCTGGCAAATATTAATCCCCATTTATTTCTCTCCTGGTGTCTCCCAGGAACATCCACACCCCAAATTTCTTCCCTCAGCCTCTTCCAGAATAACAAAGAATTCTTTCAAAATTCTTTCAGTCTTCATCCACACAAGCTCCAGGTGTTCACCTAGCAAATATCAGCATTTTTTGGGGAAAAAAAACAGGTAAAAGTGACCCAAAAAACCCCTCTGGATTTCAGTGTAGTAGTGTAAATAGTTTATTTGATTTTATGGCAGGAACAGACCAGGAAAGGAACGTGAACTGCTTTAGAAACACTTCTAATCTTGCTAAGAAGCAGATCTATGACTAGAAAAATATTAAAGAGAACATGCCAGCTTGGCTTTCATTGTGGGCTTTTATTACAAAAATACCTTTGAGCTGAAGAAAATGAGATTTAGTGCTTATACCCCAACAAGTGGTGAAATCTGAAATTCAAATTATCCAATTTTCTTTGATCCAAACACTCGTTCCAACAGTGGCATGTTCTCTTTAGCAGGTCAAGTACACAGTGCTGTAAATGCAAAACTTGGCAGTTTTTCAAGGAAAAATTCCTGGAAATTGGTCAATGTGGTAATTCTGAGTCCAAAACTGTCCTTTTAGTTAAATATAAAAACAAAAACTATAAGTTAAAATAACATTCAGATTGTATAGCACAGGCTTGATGCATTTATTTCCTTTTAAACAATATTTACAATATTACCCAGAGGCTAAAGTGGGGGGGAAGTGTAAAAACCATAAAAAACTGCACCAATTTTGTAGCAAAATATCTGTACATTTAAAAACAGATTATCATATAACTACACATTATCCAAGGGGAAAAAAACAAAAAAAAACCAAAACGGGGACCTTCACCAGTGGTTCACAGGAGCACAATGGAAAAGGGCAAAGAAATTCAGTGGTTAAATACTATACAAGAAATTTTACAATTAACAGATGGATGAGCCCAGGCAGGGAAGCTGGAAGCAAAATGGGATTTGGGAAGGACGAATTTCTCCTCAGTCCAGCTCTTGCCAACTGCTGGCAGGGAGTGGGATCCATCCTGCTCCGGGCACAGGGAGGGCACCGTGGTGCCAAACCAGCCCCTGTCCCTTTGCAGGCTGGAAATGCCTTGGAGAACCTAAACCCCACTGGGAGTTTCAGGCTGGGCTTCCCTTCCCAAGGAGCCTCAGCAGGATTGGAATCCCCCTGCCAGTCCACAGAGCCTAATACTGATTACTGGGTGTTAATTGCTTAGTGCTAATTAAGAAATACGCTGTTATCCCAATGCTGCCCAGCCAAAGCCCCTGGAACATCCCAAACCCCCGCGCTGGGCTGGGACAGCTCCTGTGGGCCCACCTTCCATGTGGAGGCTGCATGGGCTGGGAACAGGGCTGGGTTATTCCTTGAGATGATTTTAATTCCAGGTACAGAAAGCCCTCAAATGTCTTTGTTTGTAGATTGAATTAAAAAAGAGCTGTTAAGTGCAGCTGAAGGCCAGGCCTGCCCCTCGGCCCAGCATTGAAAGCCAAGCACATCCCAGTATTCCCAGTATTCCCAGTATTCCCAGTTTCCAACCAGTCAGGCCCACGGGAGCCCTTGCTCTCACCAACCCAACCCCCCAACCCAACCCCTATTTTACATTTTGGTTACAAATCCTGCAGAGTCTCGGCAGAGTCCGGAGAAACCCAACCAAGCCCAATCCTATTGCTTGGATCCGTCGGAGCGGGAGCTTCCATTCGAGGCACTTGGCGCGGAGAGCCCGGCGCGGGGCCGGCTCCCT